GGGTTCAAAGGCAAGCAGTTGCAATGGAGAGAATTCTTATTTTTCATGTGGGGTTTGTTTAGTTTTCTATGACCTCCTTGCTCCTGACTCATTAGGTAACCCCATGATTAACCCGATTGAGTATAGGGCCTGTCAATAAGCTGTGCTTACTTTGCATGTGGAAAGATGGCTTTTCCAGCTGCTGTCCCTGCAAACTGTCTGAAATCTGAATGTCAAGCAGGATTGTTTCCTCATTGTGCAGCATAATAATAATATACATTCTGTGGACCAATTCTGCATTTCACTAGCACTCGGCAATCCCTTTGTCTTCAGCAGGTATGGTATAGAGTTGCTGACCTGTCCTGAGACTAGAATTTGGTAAATACTTCTGTGAATGATTCACAAGAAGAGATGCAGTTGACTTGTGCTATCTGCTAGGTATATTAATTTCCTTCCAGTTTTTGCAAAAAAATTTAAAGTTATTACATTGAAACAAAATGGTTTGTTTGATCTTCAAAACTTCTTTTTAGCTTGGTGAATTAAAAAACAAAATCCTTTTAGGTTGACTAACAACTTTGTTTTCTCCTTTTTTTTTTTTCTTCAAAACTATCAGCTAACTGCAAATATCCATTGTCTAAGCAGCTTCATCGGTGCAATGTAAAGGGACCTTTGTATAAATGAGAACGAGGACTATGGTGCTGAGTAGAGGATGCTGTTTTCTTTCACTCTATTGCTATTCAGCAAGTGTCCTGTACTCAGCATTTACTTTTTCTCCGTTTTTGTCTTTGCTTGAAGACCTTCACTAAATACTCGCATTGCATTGTTTTAACTAAGTCAGTTCTAAAATAGACTTAACTAAATCTGCACAAACTCCCTTGTGTGAACACTCTGAGCTAAGTTAAAATGATTGATATAAGGCATTCTTTAATCCAGTGTAGGAGGGTCCCTATAAACAGGGCATGACTTTGGGATGCAGAAAAAAAGACTTATGACCAGTGCCTGCCCCTAAGGTATGTACCCATCTGCTGTTGAATCAGTTCTTCAGATCTTCTTTGGTGACATAAAATATAAAGAACTTTGAGCATCTGAGAGCAACACTCAAATCTTTCTGCTTGTTTCAGAGCTCAAACAAAAAGTAATACTTCTGTGAATTAGACCATTCTAGGTGTTGGTGTATAAATAAATATGCTCTGCATTCTGCTTTCTTTCACCATTCCTATGTGCCATACACCACAGTGAACATTTACATATCAATACCCAGAATGCTTCCCTTGCTCTTTCAGAGGTCTGTTGTTTGAACCCCAGAGCTGCCTGAGGAGCATCTGGGTGTTGCTTTTGGATGTAAAAAAGTTCTTTCCAACCCCCTCTGAACTTTTCCTGCCATAAATACAGCAAGCTTTTCTCCATAAAGTACTTCTCTACTGAGTCTGTATTCAACATTGTCTCTTGTCAAGCCCTTTCCTTAAAGGAATGGCATGATGTACTGGCTGATGATTATCTAATTTATTAAAAAGAAATATGACAGATATGAATGGAAGCTTTAATTATATATTTTACTGGATAGATAATAGCAAAACCTTGCAATGATCACAATGTTCATTCCACTTGAACATAAACCTTAGTTCTAGGTGGTCTTTTATCTGTTTATCAGTGTACCAGACAACTAATCAAATAGAAAGGTAATACTTTGAAGTATGGTAATAAATTAATTTTGATTTGTGTGAATATTAAAAAAAGACACTGATGGACATAACACTATTGCAAGCACCTCTCAAGCCCCATGATTCATTTCTTAGCACTATAAGTTAGCCAGCCAAGCAAGTCGTGGCATGTGGGAGTGTGGTTCAAGTATTTTCCTTTTTTAAGTTGTAAAAACAAAATTTTGAAATCAGCAGTCACAAAGTCTCACCTACCTTTAAGAAAAGAAATAGAAAAGAAATCTACAAGTTAGTTTGGAACGATGAAACTGCACTGCCGATATTCTTCTGGACCAGAAGGAATGTATAGCTATATACCTGGAGCATAGGGGTGTTTGGTACCCTAGGTCACATGATGGCATCACTTGGAAGAAGCACTGTGAGGGAGTTGTTTGGAAGATGGATTAGCTAAGAAGTTAGTCTGTATGCAAATGGATGGATTCCTAGTTGTAGTTATGGCAGCTCTGTAAATGTCTTCATTACAAAAAACATAGTTTAATTTTTATAAGCATGGAACCCTCTTATACTGTTATATTGTATGTGAAACATGGTGGCAGCAACAAGTAAAGGGAGACATACAGAAAGAAAATAAATGATTAAGAGGAATGCAAAGCTGCACCTAGAGAGAGAAAGCAGAAAGACTGGGAAGACTTGGACTGCTGGGGATGTTATATTTCCTGAAAAGAAACCATGTAAAAATGTGTGTGCTGGGGGGAGGGAGGGGTGCTATTTTTGTCTTACCTAAAACCAAGAAGCAAAAGAGGGGACAGATACACACATGAATGGAGTTGAAAAGTCTGGCGTTGAAAAGTCTGGCACCGTGATCAAGTTTAGAGATGTTTAAGATTCTGTAATAAAAACGGTTCATTTTTTAGTTGCATTATTCCAGCTTGTAGGTGATCATTGAGAGAGAGAGTCATCTAATCCTAAAGCAGCAATTTCCAAGCCTTTTCTGGTAAGACCCACCTAGAAACCAATAATGTCATGCCATCACATATACATTAATTTACTTGTGCACAGTGTGTGTGACACCAGCTACACACCAGTGTCACCAGCCCTCAGCTTCTCTTGTGAAGCACCACTTGCAGTACAACAGGGATACTCTGGTCTAGAGCAGTGGTTATTAACCTTTTTTGTACCAGGACCCATTTGTAACCATCAATGGCCAGTCCCGACCCAGTGCCCTTCACTCCCAGCCTGCAAGGGAAAACACACGGTTTCCCACTTTTTTCTCCTTTAAAGGGGAATCCATTTTTTAAGTTTGTTGATCCATTTTTAAGGTTTGTTCACAACCCTTTCATATATACTTGTGACCCACTTTTGGGTCACAACCCATGGGTTGAAAAATGCTGATCTAGAGGACAATTTATTTAATCCTGCACCTCTTCCACCAGTATCTGTATCTGCAATGAAGAGGGAGTGGAGAATTACCTCACCTCAGATATTCCACAATAGCCTGCCCCACAGAGAGATCTAAACTGGGGAACCTTAACCCTAAATGATATAGGGATAAATTGCCCGTTGTAGCTTTCAATTACTATGGGGGTGTTGCAGACATATGTCAAGTTGTGACAGTGCATCTGAGGTGTGGTAATTTCCCACCTAATTAGCGAGGAGAAAAAACAGACCCCAACAAGAGTCTGAGGGCACAGACAAATGATTAAATGAAAGAGAGTTAACAGAGAGGGGAGACTTTTCAGGGAACAGCTGTCATGAGATAACGGTGTGCCTGCAATTGCTCCACGGTAAGTGAAAGCTAAACTGGACAACTTACCCTGGTTTCATTCAGGAGCAAGGTGTCTCATTTTAGCTGTTACTGAATGCATCTACATGTGCACTTTACTGTGGAGCTGACTAGTTAGCACCACAGTAAAGCACCTCTGTCTGTACATATGGCACTATTGGCCACAGTAAACTAATTAACTCTGCCATAGGATAGTACTGCCTGACACAAGAACTATTCAACGGTGGAGTTTAGTGTGCTGCAATGCATATGTAAATGGTGACTGGGGTTGGCTGGGGCATGAGGGTGCTACAGTGCAGATGCCCGCTAGCTAGCCCCACCCTGTAGCACCCTCATGCCCCAGCCAGTCCCAGCTGAGCCATGATGGAGCAGCTCTACATTGGTAGGCTGACCCCCTGAACCTCCCTGGAGCTGCACTGCCCCAATTCAAAGTGCTGTGGTCCTGGGCACACATTTAAATACTGTGCCTAGGAGCAATGAATTCAGCTGTGCTAATTGCATGTGTAAGTGCACCCACCATGGGGTAATTGTGAGCATAGTGACAATTACCACAGAGAGAAGTGCAGTGCATCCTGCAATTAATAGGGAGTAGGGGCTTACTGCGCCTCAATTTCTCTGTGGTAACCATTCCCATACTCACAATTTACAGAGTGTGGACCTAGAATCATAGAAAAACCAGGCTGGAAGGGACCTCAGGAGGTCATCTAGTCTAAGCACCTGGGCAGGATCATCCTAGCCAAGATTCTCATCCGAGTGCTTATCTAACCTACTTTTAAAAACTTATGTGGATGAAGAGTCCACAACCTCTCTAGGTAATCTATTCCAGTGTTCAAATATCCTCATAGTTAGAAAATTCTTCCTAAAGTCCAACCTAAATTTCCCTTCTTACTACTTAAGATTTTTGCTATTGTCCTGTCTCCTGCCACTAGACAATTGTCTACCACCCTCTTCTATATAATAGTCTTCAGATCCATGAAGCGTTGTTATAAGATCTCCCCTCAACCTTCTCTTCTGTAGACTAATCCCAGTTCTTTCAACTTTCCTTTGTCAGGCATGTTTCCTAGACCTCTAATCAGTTCTGTTGCTTTCTGCTGGATGCTTCCTAATTTGTCTGTGTTTTGAAGTGCAATACCCAAAGCTGGACACATTACTCTAGGTGAGTCTGCAACAGAGTTTGCCACACCTCATCTTCTCCATGGTAAACATTCCTGTGGCCACAGTTAACATAGGGTGTGAACGTAATGCAGTAGCATAACTGGGAGGAGAGGGTAACCTTGGGTACTATCTTTCTGTGTGTGGGGGTGCGGGAGGCACAAAAATAGCTGCGACTGCAATGGTGGCTGATCACACCACTATGATCACCACTGTGGCAGCTTGTACTTCCCCGGGTGTCACAGCTGCCTCTGACTTAATGCATCTGTGGCACAGCACCTTTGGTGCCTGCCACTTTAAGGGCTTAGAGTGACAGCAGGGCAGCTGGCAGGTGCAGGCCAGTCCTGATGAGGCAGTCACATGGCTGCAAGAGGGCCGTGTGATTGGAGGAGGGTGCTGAGCAGCCTCCATCTTAACACAGGCCCTCAGGGCTGAGCCAGCAGTCTGCTGCTGGCAGAAGAACACCACCCAGCTCAGCCGCTGCTCAGAGCATCCTTGGAGGTAAGGGCAGAAGCTATGGGGATGGCAGGAGGCTCCTGGTCCTGGGGCATGATTGAAAACTACACCCTGCTAGGGATGGATGGCCTGGTGGGACTGCCCATGGTGGGGTAGTTCCCCAGAACTTCCAGGCCAGTTGCCTCCCCAGTGACAGGTGGGTAGGAGAACCTTATAACACCAACTCCCACTACCCAGTGGGTAATTTGAGAGCAGGGATAGGCAGTGCAGCCAGACACATTTGTGGACACGTGAGCTGATGTGGTGTAAGACCTCAAGCCCCAGTGAGGGGGCATAGAGTTGGCCCCAGTAAGGGGGCAGAAAAAGGCCCCAGTGAGGGGGAAGTATGTGTAGAGTCCTGCAAAGAATAGGGTGTACAGTGATGCTTGAAGGGCTGTGTGTGAAGGGTGTAGAGCAGGGTCTGCACAGGCAGACCTCAAGGGCTGCACCAGGGGGTGTGTAGAGTAGGGTTGCCCGTGCAATCTGAAGGGCTACACATGGACCAGCCCCCAGAACAGTGACAACATGAGCAAGTTGCTTGGAGAGGGGCTAGTGGCTGAGTTCAGCGCATTGTAAGGCATAAGGCCACAGGGTCTGAAGGACTGCCTGTGAGCCGGCCAGTGTGAGTAGGAAAGCCTGAAAGGCTGCTTAGAGTAGGGCCCAAGTGGGGCTTGAAGGGGCTGCATGGATCTGTGGTGGGTTGAGAGTTGCCCAGTGAGGGGCAGTATGAATGAAGCCCAGTGAGAGTTGGCAGTGTGAATGAGTCCCTGTGAGAGGGGGTGGACTGTGAGAGTTGAATGCTAGAGGCTCAGCAAGGGGAAGAGTTTAGCCCGGCCTTGGGCCAGAGCTGTTACCAACTGGTGATGCCATCTGCAAGGCATGGGACATGGTGTAAGGAAGGTCAGAGCTGTGTACAATGCCCCAGGCATCAGGGCATTAAATGGGCAGCCTCCTGCACTTTACAATAATTTAATGTTACAGCAAGATGTGGAAGGTGAATGAGGGCAGACTGCCCTAGACAGGCGGGCAGGCCAAAGTTCAACTGGCCTCTCAGTGGCCCCCTGTCACAGCATCTCAGCTGTTACATGGTAACTGTCAGTGTGCTTCCTCTTACTCCTTATCAAGACCTAAACCAGGGCTGTATGAGGGTGCTCAGAGGAACTATAGGTTCCTTGGGGCTTGTGATTCCCCACTTGTAACTGCTGCAATGCTAGTTTTAGTTGTGACCCTTAGTTTGGGAACTTCTGCTTCAAAGGAAATATCTTCAAATACCAAGGGTAGCTGAACTGACCAGAGAAATGATGAAGGAAAAAAAAAAAAAAAGAGAAGTACTACTAAAGAAAAGGTCAGCATGGTGAGGCTAAAGGAACTCTGGAAAAAACAGACAGAATGAGGGCTCCATCGTCCAATTTATTTACTGTGAAAAGCAATGTATAAGGTAAAGAGAAGAAAAAATGCCAAGTCAATGGGCAATAGCATAAGGGGTGTGTGAAGCAGAATCAGTTTTTGTTCTGCTGGCATAGCTACCCTTAGAAAAGAAGAGGCTGCAGTACATATTGATTGAGGACATCAATCCTCCAATGAAGAGGAGGATATCTGCAGTTTAACTTTAGTAGAACCAAAGACACACAATTTACCTACACTGCAGTAGGCAACTACCAGCCCTTTGACTACTGTATTTGCAAATGTGCATCAATGACCAATTTGATTCCAGCTAGGTTGTGCAGCCATTCCAGCAACACTGATAAGTAGCAATGTAAGGGTTTGTGCTACAGACCCTCTGCTGCTACAGCTATCTTGGCATAGCTGAGTCGGCAGAGCCCCTGAGCAAAAAACACACTGTATGCCAAGAGAAGAGGTTTTCTGCCAGTGAAGCTACGCCATGTCCCTGAACAACATAAGGTAAGCTGGCAAACATCCTCTTCTGTCAGCACAGCTGCCTCAAACACTAGGGATTTTGCTGGCATAGCTACATTAGCAAAAGGTTGTGATCTTTTCATACATCTGTCAGAAGTCTGCAAACCCTGGAGAGAGTTAACACACGGTGATGCTGGGTGGGAAAGGTCAGAGCCCCAGGAATAGGCTTTCGAAAAGAAAAGAAAATCTCATGTGAGGAACCAGCCCTAAAGGAGCACTGTGGTCAGGCAACTGAAGATGAATTTTACAAGTTATGGCCTACTTGTTGTACAGTGCTCCAAAAATGGGCCACAGTCAGCAGGTAGAATTAAAATGCTTTGGCACCACCTAGGAATCTGAGCACAATACTGTTTATTTGATTTATATGCTGTCCTTCCCAGCAGAGGCTCAGGGTGGTTTGCAATCAAAGAACAGAATTCTAATAAAATAAAGGGCTTAGTTGGTCTATCTGTGTCTGTCAGTCCGCAACACTTTTGGGCAACTGTGCATGCACTGCCGAGAGGGCTGGCAGTGGTTGGCTGCGAGGGCTCTGCCTCCTCAGGCAGGGAGGTAGGGGCCCCACTGCACTGTGAGAGGAGCGGAGGGGGGAGGGAGGAGCCACCACCACCACCACCACCTCTGGCAGAGGGAAGCCCCACTGCTCTGCAGGAGGAGGCGGAGGTAGCAGGGGAGTGAGCTGCTGCTGCTACCGCTGCTGCCTCAGGTAGAGGGAAGCCCCACTGCTCTGTGGGAGGAAGCAGAGGCAGAAGGGTGGGTGGGAGGTAGGGAGCTGCTACCACCCCCTCAGGTGGAGGGAAGCCCTGCTGCTCTGTGAGAGGAGGCAGGGGCGGCAGCAGTGGTGGGGAGGGAGCCACTGTGCCAGAAGAGGAAGTGGTGGTGCCGGAAGGGCTGTATACATGGCTGGCTCCAAAGTGCGGGGAGGAGCGAAGGTCATGTAAATACTTCCTTAAACACTCTATCATTCATGATGGGCAATTGGCTAGTAATTTATAAAACAGAAGAAAGAATAAAGGAACAAAAAAACCTTAAAAGGCAAATGTCAATGTAAAACGGAAACCCTGACAGACAATACACAGAGGCAGTAGAGAGGACACTCAAATAAGCAGACGTCTACATCAAGAAGCTAGAAACCTGTTTCTGGAACAGGTAAAGGTAGGGAGGGATACCAAGAGAGTTGGAATGGAAAGTCTACTGTATGGGCATGGCTTGCTTCACTTAGCAAAATGAAGTTTGAAGGGCATTATGACTCCTTTTTTACAAATCCACTTGGGGCTGAGCATTAAGGAGGGAGGGAGAAGGGCTGCTTCAGTTAAAGAATATAAAATGGCACAAGATCAACTGTGAGTACAAGCTGGTCATTGAACAAATTTAGACTAGACGTTGGAAGGTTTTTTAATAATCAGAGGAGTGAAGTTTTGGAAAAGTCTTCTGAAAAAAACCAAACCTGAATTACTTCAAGATGAAGCAATAAGTTTATGGGAAGTATAGTATATGATAGGCTACTGGTGCACTTGGTATAGTAATATGTATGTGTCATATGTGGGTTTATTTGATATTCTGGTGAAGGGATGGAAACGAAAGTTAGTTTCTGTGAGAGGTTTCTGGAAATTTCATGCTTCAGCATTTCTGCCTGTCACTTGAAGGGACCAGAAAGAACCCTCTACCCTCATCCAAGAATGCATTATTTGCTTCTGGGAATGGGAGAAGTTATCTTTCTCTGAATAATCAAATGTTGGCCCCAGCTGGAGGTGGGACTTGAGCTGGGGTGCGTTGGTGCTCCTGTGAGTAATTAGAAGGTACCAAGTACCCATCTGGATGGATTTGCTCATGTGCTCAGGGTCAAACTGATCAACAGGATGTTCAGGCCATTAGGATTTTTTGCCATCCTCTATAGCACAGGGCATGGTCATCATGGATCATATTTTAACTAGGAATGCACCAATAGAGATTTTTGGGGCTGATACCGATAGCCAATTTTTAAGCAGGCATATCTGCTGATTCTGATCTGATTTCCTATATGCAATCCAGCAGCTTGAAGAGCAGTGACTGACTGGTAAGTGGAAGGGGCAGGGGAAGGGAAGGGATGTGGGGGCTGGCAGATCGAGGCCCCTGTGAGGGAGGGAGGGAGGGAGGGAGTGGGGTTGGGGCAGGTGCTGCCCAACTGGGGTAAGGCATGGGATGGAGCCACAGCTCGTCCAGGGAAGCACAGGGAGAAGGGGCAGCTCCTGTCACTGTGCACACCCTGGGAGGGCATGGCAGGGTATGTGTGTCTGGATCTGCATGGGGCGGGCTGCTACTGTGGGCTTGGGTCAGAGCTCTGCTGGGCTCTTCCTGTCGTGGGGCTGAGGCAGGCTGCGCTTGGGGCAGGCTGTAGCGGCACTGACAGGGGATCACAGGGGGGGACTGCAGCCACCCCAAAATTTGCCGTAGCCCCCCCACAACCTCCCTTCCAGTGCCACTGCCCAGCCTCCACTGGGAAGAGCCCAGCACAGCCCCAGCCCACAGTGGCAGCCTGTTCTGCTTAATGCAGATCCAGGGGCACATGCAGCTCATGCCCTCCTTGGGTGGACACCCAGACAAGCTGTTGCTCCATCCCACACCCTGCCCTGCCCTGCTCCAACTGGGCAGCCCCAGCCGGACTCCTGTCACTGTGGGGGCCTCAATCTGCCTGCCCCATGTCCCTTTCCTGCCCCTCTCCCTTCCCCTTCCACCACAACAGACTTACCAGCTGGATGCATTTCTCCAAGCTTCTGGGGTGTGCTCCTCACTACCTACATGCTGCTCTGTGGCTGTGCACATGCACAGGGCATTTATTGGTCAAATTATTGGCCACATCAGTCAAAAAAAGCCAATTTCCAACACAGTCAACTTTCGTTACGTCGGTGCCGCTCTGATATTGGACTGATGTACGCATGTGTGTCAGTGTAGAGGGCAGAGGTGCACCTCTAATTTTAACCTCATTTCTTGATGCTGCAGTGGTAGGGCAGTGGAAGTGTCCTTCTTTCCTTTGCTTTTTAGCTGTTGCACATTGCAGAATATTTTTAATAGGGTATTTTATGGCTGTGCTGCATAAAATTTCTGCATGTGCTTAACTTTAAGCAGGAGAGTAGTCCAGTCATTTAATTGGGACAACTTACATCTTAAAGTTAAATGCATGCAGAAGTCTTTTCAGGATCAGAGCTATAGCAAATTAATCTGTTCATTTCTGACTATTTTAGTGATAACATGTAGTAGTAGTAGTAGTAAAATTATTTATTTAGAGCAGTCATTTTGATTTATTGATATAGTCATGATCATTGTCCAAAACAGTTTACAATTATTTTTTAAATATATTTTTGTAGAAATTGAGATTTCAACCTATAATGTTTTAACTCTTGCAAGGAGAGAGGTAAAGAGGAGATTTCACATTTTATATGAAATTTACTTGTGGATTTTTTTTTGACACAAATACAAGATAAAATGATCTCTAGAGTTCTTAGACAGAAGATAGATTAGCTGTCAAATGCTCATCAAGAGGACTTCTTTTTCTCTAGGAAACAAAACTACAGTTCATGTGAAAAGCAATAACACTTAAATCTATCAAGAAATTTGTTTCATGTGCTGTTTTGTTGTACAGTCGGAGAGTGTGCAGTATGTTGCGTGAACAATGTTTACTTAAATAGTATTGTATTTCCCTCTGATTTTTTTTTTTTTTTTAAATCTGAAAAACAGGTGACATGCTATTCCCTTGTGACTGCAACAATCAGGCGAAACTGTCTTCTGATGCTGTTCTTTTTAAGTGAGTGAAATTCCATTACCTTTGTTCCACATGCTGTGGCTTCAGTAATAACGTGAAAATACTCCATGCTTGTAAAAGCAAACTGATTCTTTATTAAGATAACTTTTTTACATGTAAAATTTCAGTTGCAACATCTATACACAGTTCAGCTTCCTGGTGCCTCTGACAATGTGTTCCTTCCTGCCATGGACAGATCCAGGGTGTGGGGTGGTGAATGTGGCCAAACAGATCTTTAGCTGTGTAGCATATAAACAGTGAGCGCACTGACTATTCAGTGTGGCTCTGAAACCCAGGGAATGAACACTGCTGCCACTTACACCCCTCAAATTCTCTTGCCTGCCACTGAATTTAGTAGCAGGGGAAAGTGGGGCGAGCATGTCAGTATTCACATCCTGCCCTCTCCCTGGGTTAGAGCTGCACCAACACAGGCTCTGGCAGCAATTCCCCTGACAACCCAGTGAGCTCAGAGAGTGCAGTGCACATGTGGTGCACAGCTGAAGGGGGCTATGACCGCCTCCCCCCCCCCCCCCCCCCCCCCACCCTAGCACTGCTGGATCTGCCTCTGCCATCTGCAACTTGTGCTGTGTGACAGGACTGGGTCCCAGGAGCAGCCTTGATGCCCCCAGTGGCTGCATAGCTCCTGCCTCACTCTGACTCCTCCAGCACCCTCCCTTTTCCTCTTGCTTGCCACGCCTTGAAGGAATTGTTTTTGGTTGGAGAAAGGAGGCTGCCCCAGGGTCCCTGAGTGAGCCCTACCCTGTTTCGGCTAGTGGATCCCTCCCAGACCCTGATGATTCCAGTCCTGCCCCTCAAGCGCTTAACGGGGCCCTCCTCACCCTGTCTGTGCCCCAAGACACCAGTTGCCTTAAGGGCTATTTGTGACCTTCTTCTGCCCCTACAGCCACTCCCATGCCTCGCAGATATCACTCTGTTGCCAGTTACTCCCTTGTATAGGCTTTGGCCTTCTTAGCCTTAGCTTACAGGTTACTCTGGCTGTCGATTGCTAGCCTCAGCCCAGTGGCTTTGGCCTGGCCTTTCAGTCCCAGCCTCTTGTTGGCCCTGGCTATCTGCATTGCCCTCTCTGGGCTCAGACTCCAGCCCTCTTGGCCTCAGGCCACTTTTGTCCCCCTACTGTCAAGTTCAGGCCCTGGCCTTCTTGGCCTCAACCTGATTTTTGTCTTGTGCTCAAAACTTAGCATGCCACTCAAACACCCCTGTGGCCTCCTTTTTCCACCCCTCCAACCATATCCAGTCCTCCAGCATAAACTAGAACAAAAACCCAAGCAACCACTTTAAACTCAAACACTTTCCTTCTGGGCCATCATCCTATTGCCAAGCCACGTTCCCACTTCCTGGCTCTCTCAGCCTCATGAGTACCTGCCATGGCTTGCAGCTGTCTGTCCTCACCAGCCTGAGTTAGCAGGAGCTCTTTTCCCTGCCACGTTCAGGGCTGCATTGCCACTCTGCCTCCAGAGCTCAGGCCTATATCCCCTGGCTTCTCCTCTTCTGGTCAGGTGCTCTCCCTTGACTGGCCACAAATGCGCCCCTCCACCTCCAGGGCAGCTTACTGCCAGTGCCTTTGCTGCCTAACCATGGCTCTGCCCTACTCCCCTACTGCTAGGCAGCTAGCCCCACAATAGGCCCTTGCAACCTATGGGTCCCTGGCTGCCTACTCCCCTGCAGCCAGCCCATGATGTGCAGTCTTCCCCTACCTGTGGACATCCCTGCTGCAGCTTCTCATTTGAACTAACAGGAGTCCCTAGCACCCTGTTACATGCTCTTTCTTTCAAATTCCATCCAGGTAGCTACAAACCTGTATATTTATATTAAAACTAAATACTTAAAACAATGTTTCATTACTTTCTTAATTAGAGCAGGCATCTTCCTTTCAAACCCCATTTTAAATCCAAAGTTAGTCTATGGCAGTGATTCCCAACCAGGATGTTGTGAGATCCTTTTAAGGGTGTCATGGGTACCATACAATATTAGCACTATGTTCAACCACCTACATATGATTCACAAGATAAACCCAGAGATTTCAAATAAGGATTCATAGTGTCAAAACATTCTGACCTGTTGGGGTCTTTCTAAGTTCTTTGCCACAAAAGATTGCTCTATTATTTTTCTGTAATCAAAAAATGATGAAGGTAAGAGCTAGAATTGATCTCAGTTTGATCACTTGCAATTACTCTCCAAAATCATAAACTGTATCATTTGCATTACAAATGTGTAAAATGCTACAGAAGAATGCCAATTTTCTAAGACATAAATAATAAAAAGATGGTTTTCTTTACTCGTGTTATGAAAATCTGAAATGACCACCGTTGATTATTAATGATTCTATAGAATATGTTAACAAGGGGGAGGAGGGTGTGATATAGTTGTTATAATGGCAGTGTCTCAATATCAAGTTAGAGATGCTTATTATGGTAGCATTACTGTGGTAGTATTGGGGTGATGTAGCCGTGATGGTTCAGGAAAAAATGTTAAAGGAACAGGCTATCTACAGTTTAGCTCAAGCTGTGTCTGCTTTTTTTTTTTTTTTCTCAGAGACCTGGGGAAGGGCATTTGGTACCTGAAAGCTTATCTATATTCCTCCCAACTATACAGTTTGTCCAGTAAAAAAAAATCTGTGCCTAATAACATTACTGGAACTTAGGTAGGGGCCTCTTTATAATGCCTGCGTCCTTTTCCCTAATATTGATCAGTTTAAGTTAAACATTTCTCTGTGGAAAAGGTATGAACTAAGATGCCTCATTTGAGCTGCCTTTGATATTTGCTTACTGGATGTAGCACAATGGTTTATCTTGAAAGACTCAATCTTCTCCATTTTCTAGGTGCATTAGTAAGTGTATTTATCAAGAAGTAAATGAATATTTTTTAGGGCTTCCTAAATTTAAACTCTGTTTATTCCATGCATACTTATTGTAATAAGTAGAGAGACCTATTTTAATTGAACATTAAGGCTACTTGGTTTAAATCAGTGAGCCAGTAAATGCAAAAAATTACGGTTTCCATAATAGCATCAATATGTAGAGCTGCAATGTCGTGTCTTGTATATGTTTTATGGTATACATTTCACAACCATAATAATAAGCAAGAAAAGGGTCAAAAGGTTTGGCACCACTGGTTTAGAGTTGTATAGTTGTTTTACAAGTAGAAGTAAATTGGCACAATCTCTGATATAGACAGTGCCACTGTAGCTTATTTCCTTTCTGCAAAGCAATATCTCTGTCACTATAAATGTCTATTCCAGTAATACTACATGCAGTAATAATACATACTACTTCTGCATAGAGAATGAACATGCAGGCTCAGAACATGTAAGCGCATAACATGCCAATGTCTGGACATGAACAAAGACGTTGTTAAAACATCATGTCTTTGAATCAAATAATTTTTGTTTCAAACATGAAAAGGCAACTACCACATTAGAGACTGTAGTCCTGAGCCATGGCTGAAGGTAATTGGAATCTTTCCATTAATATCACTAGGCTTTGGATCAGGGCACATATTCTAAGCCAAGTTTCAGATTTCAAGTATCAGCCACTTTTGCTGTAGCTCTTTTCAGAATGAATGACTAGACTATTCAAAAGATATTAAAAGATTTTACTCTTGGATGTACGCAGGGAAGAAGCTAATATTCCCTAGCTCCCTGTTTCCCAAAGTTATTTTTTTAAAAGTCCATCTTCAGACAGGTTGCCAAAAATCAAGTGTCAGATCAAAAATTGAGAGGGTTTTTTTTTGAAAATTATGAACATGGAAAAATAGCATTATACTGAGAGAACTGTCTTACCACCTGGACTAAAGTGATCACTAATGGCAACTGCTCTAATTGATTTAGCAAAATCATTTGAAAAAAATGTCTTGAAAAACATTAATTAAACATCAAACTAAATAATCAAAGTCAACTGGCTTTTTATTTTCATGATGATCTGGACATTACCAAACTGATGCACTTTAGCACATTTTAAATTCAGCATCTTGCATTTGCAAAGCTACAGCCTTTATTAAGGACTAATCACTTACCAAATTTGATTTTGAACAACAAAAGCTGTTCTTGAGTTATCCAAGAACAAATGAGAATCTGGAAAGAAGAAAACAAAATGTTGTTCTATTTTACAACCAACCAAAAAAGAAAATATTAACATTCAACCAAAAAAATCATCATGTCATATTTGAGCCTGGAAAAAAATTATTCCAAATTTTAAAGTAATTTAAAGCAGGCACTTGTATTGTAGATGTGCTATCTCAATTTTAACTTGAACATCTGTCTACCATTCCTCCATTATACATGCTATTAATATCATTGATGTCTGACCTGTATTAGTATAGATGAGTTATTTAGATTATTACACCATTTGTAAAAATAGTGGGAGGAAAAAAACCTTCCACAGCAGTTGAGACACCATTCCAAATTGGACCCAGATAACTTACCAACTCTACAAATTACGGAAATAGCATCAGCTAGGAGGTATGCTATAGTCAGTAGCAGGCATTAGATGATAGCAGATAAAGCCACATTTTGCTCATGTTCAGAAGGAGCAAAATCTGTTGCTAAGCTCCTTTTCATGTCACCACCACCCCTCATGCTGATCCAGGAAAGCATTCCTACTCGGGAGGCCTTCAAACTTCTGAATAAGTCAGGAATCCAAGTGACTTAAGCACATGCTTAAGTGCTGTCCGGAGTCAAGGTCTCAGGCAGAAACCCTGTTGTAGGCCACAAGTAGCACGACTTTTCTCTGATTTATTCCAGACCACAGAGCATGAACACCGTGTGCCCCTGGAGGCTGGCTAGGCATGGCGAACTCCCACAGGCGGTGGTGGGAGCATGGTGGAGGCAACTGGGGAGCTGCCACAGGCAGCCGCAACGCTGTCCGCACCTGGGGGGAGGGGTGGGTAGTGAGCACTGACCAGTGGTCGGTGACCATCCACAGACACTGCCGGCAGTGTCATGGTGGGGTGCACGTATACCCACACCCACTACGTGTCACCAATGC